TGGAGACCCGCCAGCATAAAATTACTTTAGTTGCTACCTCACAACTGTAATTATTTTTGAAGACGGAGGTTTGCCAGCGGGGCCCCCACTTGAGACACACTGTCAGCCCCATCAACTATTTTCTTCTTGTATAAATGTCACCAAACATATAAAGACTCGGGAACCCACATGGAGAAAAGAGACAACGTACTCACAGAAATGATCCTCTGACCTCCACATTCATGCTCAGACCCACACAAGCATGCACACACATACACTACATAAGGAAGCAAGTAAGTAAAATTTAAAATTATGTTAACAATTTCTCAAGATGTTAGGTAACTATTCCGAGTCCATATCACTGCTTTCCAATTTATTTCACTTGTCTGTATTTCTGTTTTCATGGCAGCACCAACTTGCTTTTGTGACTGCGGTTCTGCAGTACAATTTGAGACTCATTATTTTGCTATCCGTGCCATTGCCCTTTCTGCCCTGGGTAGCTTTAGCTATTCACTGCCTTTATATTTCCATATAATTGTGAGGAATCATTTTATTAGCTTTGTGTTGTCTGCCATTGGTATTTTATGAGGATTTCATTGAGTCTACAGGCTCCTTTCGGTGTCTAAGAAAAACCAAGAAACTTCCAAGATTAGTCAAGATTAAAGCAGAAATTCTTTTCAAAATTAATTAAAATAACAATAAGCAGAAACCACCAAAGAGTTGGTTACTTTGAAAAAAAAAAAATAGACGAGATTTACAAATCAGCCCAAGAAAGAGGGAGATGGCTCATTAATTAAATGGGAGACGAAAAGGAAGGTAGCTGACAGAATCCTGTGAAAAAGTGTTTCATTAGTAGGTACTTTGAAAACTTACATTCCAAATACCTGAATTACATAGACTAGATCAATAAATTCCTAGATATATATGGCCTGCCAAGATTAAATCAAGGATATATAAACATCTAGAGCAGATACATAACAGGAACAGCCAGAACCTGGAAACAAACTAGATGCCCCTTGACTGAAGAATAAAGAAAGCAAATGTGGTATACATACACAATGGAGTACGTAAAAACAAAGACATCAGGAAATCTGAGGGCAAATGGATGGAACAAAAATCTGTATGTCCTTGTGGTGATTAATATATTGTTTATGATCGAATAAAGTCACTGGAGATCAGAATGCAAAACCAGCTACACCAGTTAGCTATAGAAGCTGGGCAGTAGTGGCACACACCTTTATTCCTAGGACTCGGGAGACAGAGGCAGACGGATCTCTTCGAATTCAAGGCCACCCAGGGCTATGTGAGAGAGATCAGTCTAAAAGAGATAGAGCTCACGGCTTTAATCCCAGCACTAAAGAGTACACAAGGAGCTCAGTGCAGCCTCAGGGGCCGTCTAGGATTCTGAGGCTTGGCGGAGAGCAGTGCAGTCTGGAGATGCAATCTGAGGTTCAGTGGATCCCCCTTTCCTCTGAGCACTAACCGAGGTGAGAACTCTCTAGTGGTTGGCTGCTTTGCTTCTCTGATCATCAGCTGGAACCTCAACAGCTGTCTCTGGGTTTCTTATTACTCGTGTTACATATCCTGAGTGAGGGAATCCAGACTCAGAAAGACAAACATAGTATGAACTCGCTCATAAGCAGATATGAGACGTTAAGGATAACCATGGTACAATCCACAGTCCCAGAGACGCTAGGCAATGAGGAGGGCCCAAAGGTGGGTAGGAACACATGGATTTCCCTGGGAAACAGAAGCGATCTCTTGGGTAGACTGAGAGTTGGTGGGGGTGGGAACATGAGGGATTGGGTTTTGAGGATGGTTAAGAGGGAAGGTCATAAAATAGACATCTTGATGGGGGAACGTTTTGGGGTCAGGTAGACACCTGTTGCAAGGAAAACTCCCACGAATCTACAAGGATGATTCCAACTAAGACTTCTAGCAATAGTTGACAGGTAGCCTGAACTGGCCATCCCCTGTAATCAAATTGATAAGCACGTCAACTGTATCAGAGTGCCTTCATCCAGTAAAAGATGATAACAGATGCAGATATCCACAGCTTTGGGAATCTTGTTAAGTGAGGAACGTGTTAAAGGAGCTGGAGGTGGGGTGGGGTGGTGTCAAAGTTATCACCAGAGAACCCACAGAAACAACTAACCAGGACCCACAGGAGCTCACAGAGTCTGAACCAAGCAGCTAGAGAGCCTACATGGGGCCGACCTAGGCCCTCTACATATGTGTGTAGCTTGATCTACTTGTGGGATTCCTAGTGGTGGGAACAGGACCTGCCCCTAATGTTCTGGCTGGCTTCCACAAACTTATTCCCCATACTGGGTTGCCTTGCCTAGCCTTAATACAAGGGGAGTAACTTAGTCATACCCAGGTTCAAGGCCGACCTTGACTGTACAATATGACCAGGCTAACAAAGGCTACATACATAGAGCCACCCCCTGTCTGAGAATCAAACTCCGCCTTTTCAACGTTTCGCATTATTAGCCCGATGTGCTAACATTAGGCAATGAGAGAACACTGGATAATAACTCCTTTCTCGTAAGGTATATTCCTTGCGCCTAACTGATGGTTTTCTGTGTGCCATGAAAATACTGCCGAGGCCTATGTGCGCTCATCTTGTTTAGATGTCGCCAGTTCCCTAACTTTAACCTAGACTGATGTGCATGGGCAGGGGCAGGAAGACAAGAGGCCTGGGCCACACCTCAGGGTTTGCCCCTGAGCTGAAAGGAGGGCCCAGAGGTAACTGGCTCAGTGCTGCCCCAGTAAACCTGCTTCTACCTCTTCAGCCTGCCTGTCTTCTTCAAGTGTAGAAATGTTTCATGTCTCCAGCTGGGGGCGATCCTTTAGAAATCCACTCTGTTGCATGACTACAGACTTTACAGTGCACGTGTCCTCGTTAATGAATAAACATGCAAACCAGGACAGCCCAAGCCCAAAACGGAAGTCTGGCGTTTTTTAAGCTCAGGGATTTGTTTGTTTGTTCATTTTGTTTTGGCTTTCATTGTGCAGTCTTTTTGTTAAAAACACACAGTTAAGAGGAATTACATGTAGTCACCTATATCCAATTAGTTTTACTCATTAGGGCTTGGAAGTAATGAGATTTATTCCAAGTATTTAACTCCCATGCGAGGAGGAATTAGTTTCACTGATCACTGCTAGGGACCCTGCCCTTCCCCAGGCCAGCCATGTCCCAAGGTCAGCCATGTCCCAAGGTCAAGAATCACTAAGGCCCCAAATTCAATAAAAATTAACTATATTGCTTCACTAACATCTTCATGTGTAGACAAATGGTCATAAGATAAATCATATACACACTTGAATGTTTTTTCTAAGATTATGTGTAAATATGGCTGGGCATAACGCCTTTGGGAGGCAGAGGCAGATGGCTCTCTGTGAGTTCAAGGCCAGCCTGGTCTACATAGTGAGTTCCAGGACAGCCAGAGCTATGTAGAGAGAGTCTGTCTCAAAAAACAAAGCAAAAATAAATAAATAAATAAACAAACAAACAAACAAAAAAGATTACTTATAAATAGGATGAGGAATACTTGATTTGATTATTTTGAGATTAATTAAAATAATAGCAAGAATAATGGTACTTGTTTCTAAAAGCTACTAACCCTTTGCTTTTAAATATGAATAAATGTGTTCTATTATCTTTGCTACTCGTCCCTGCTTAAATCAAATACAATAATCAATCAGACACCTTCAATTTTCAAAAGCATTCTAGATGGCTTTCATAACTAAGGACCAAGTAAAGAGTGGTAGGTTAATACCTTCCCAAGTCTGGCTTTTAATTCTGGGCGGTGCCTACCTTTAGAGAATTAGTGATAGCAACCAGGCAACAGGCATGGGACAAACCATGTCCAGTTTATAACCTGAGCCCCCATGACATGGCACCCTACTCTGAACTATGTGCTGAGATGCTTTCTACAACAGCCTGGAATGTTTTTCACACAACGACCATGTCAGGCTTTCGAGTATATTGTTGGAGGAAGTTGTAAAGTTGCGCAGTAAATGAGCCAGTGAGATTTAACTGTTCCAGGCTGTCACTTGTTACTGTCTTTGTGGTGACTGCATCCGGTCCCCACACATTAGCAAACAGCGCCTGATCTCAAAGGAAACACAAAGAAAGCAACCAGTTGCTCCCGACAGCAGCTCTGGTGCTAGAAAGCTGAAGCTAAACATTCTGATGTCACAAGGAAAGATGCATGATCTCAAACCACATATGTTTAATGCCCACACAGGGCCTGTTAACGCTACAATGTTTTTCTTTTTGTTTTGGAAGCAAGCAGGCAATTTCTCAAATGCCAACCATTTCAATATAGCTACTAACACATATGAGAATGACTGAACTACATTTTCACAAATGGTGTGCTCACATCTACCCATGAAATCTTATGTTTCCAAATGAGCTGGGCCACAAACACGTTCACAACTGGACTAACTTGAAAATCTGTTTCTATCAAGCACATCCTCTCACTGGAAAAATACTGCACCAGACAAGATTCAGGAAAACAAACCAATGCAGAAAGCAGACCATTAAATAAATTCTCTCCGATAATATATGTACGTGACTCAGAAGCAATTAAGAAAGAGTAATTCCTACTGAGATTTACTCAACACTAACATAAAATCTCACATCTTCTACAGCAGAGTATATATTTCTTTTCTAGGAGTCCAGTTTTTATTCATTTAAAGTGTTTTAATACTAACATAAATACCCATTTGAGGTTTTATTTTAGCCAATCTTCAGGGTCCTCACAAGTTTCAATATTTAGTAATGTGACTTAATGAGGCTTTAAAGTAATAGAATAAGGGTCTTAAAGAGAAGAATAGAGATGATCCTAATTCTAACAGATCTCATTCAATAAGAGAAATAACACATCGGTCCTTCTCATAGGGGCCATTTTCTACGACGAATATGAAGGAAAGTAAATAGTTGCCATGAAAAGGTTAAAACTAAGGAATAGCGGGAGTGAGGGGCGCGCAGACACTGGCTGGCAGGAGCATACCTTTCTCTCTCTCCTTCGGTGAGGTCGTACAAGTGGTTGGCACCTCCGTCAGCACAGGCTCTGAAGAGAGCTTCAGACAAAAAAGAACACAAATCATTTCAATACAAACGGCCAAGCATAGTCTTCCCTGTGAATGTCACTGAAAAGCCAACACTCAGAGCACAGTCATGCTACCCCACTGGGTCACGGGAGTCACCTTATGGGACTTCTGTCATTACTACAAGTGGCTCTACATAGAGGGCAGACCACCCCAGAGACACTTGGCTTCCTTCCCGGTCCCTGTGAACAGAGGTGGAGAGTGTGCAGTGCAGGGTGATTCTACCACGGGCTTTTCCTCTTTTTGAAGGGAAGACAGGTTCATGCTCATGGCAGGGAGCATGTGATAGACAGCTGCTCTGGCTACATTCACATGTTGGCTTTGAACTTCCAATGGGGACAGGGGTACTTCCAGGTGACAGCCTGTCTCATTGCTCTGTGCCTGGGTTTTCCTTTTCTCGTCAATGGTCTGAGCCCCAAAACCGTGCCAGAGCAAACTGACTGTTAAGTCATCTTAACCCAATTATTTCCCATCCTTCAGTGAAACATACTTGTGGATAGTTTTACCTGTCCTCAACCTTTCTCCAAATGTTTCGATCTTGCTTTCCTTCTGTATGGGACACATTACTTCAACTCCATCCCTCAATTTATAAAATCTCTCTTCAACTATGTCAAATATTAATATAATAACAAATATCCCATTGTTAACAATAATGTTAATTTTACTACTTTAAACTATTAATCTATTCTCACTAAAGGACCTGTAGGATGTTTTGTTGCTAATTTTTAAAATAAGATAAATCAAAACCTAACATGTGGGAACTGAACAAAACACACAAACAGAAGGAAAAGAGCCCAAAAGTAGGCCAAGAGACAGAAACCTAATCGTTCTCACACTCAGGAATCCCATAAAAACACTAAACTGGAGGCCATAATATAAACAGAAAGGGTCTGGTACAGAATTCTGCAGGCCCTGTGCATGCTGCCTGGGTCTCTGTGAGTTCACATGAGTTTTGATCATGTTGAATTTGTGAATCTTGGCTTCATTTACTTATTTAAAAAAAGTCTTTGCCCTCGAGCTTCAGATCAAACTTTTTTTTTATCCTATGGAGTGAATAGGAGTAAATGCAAGACATTGGTGATTTAACAGGATATTATAACAGTTTCTTTACCATTAATAAATCAAAAGTCTTGTCTTCTGCCCCTACACAACTACTAAAAGCAAAGCCACTAAGATCATTAATTACTTCTTTCATTGTAAATCGACATAAGAGCAATAAGTAATAATGATGCCATAGACCCAAATGTATGTTGTCAGAAACTTCCTCCACCTAAGAAACTAGTCTCGGGCAAGGGGTGGAACGTGATCAAATTACTTGCCAAACTACTACATGAATAGTTTGTAGACAGGTTGCTAATAGTCTTTATTCTTCTCTGCAGGTTTCTGTTCTCTGTATTACTTTCAATAACACTGTCTTCCAGGCTCCTAACAGAACAGCGTAAGTACTGCTTCCAGCATTCAATGGCTTGTCACGACTACAACTCCGATGCCTTCCATACCATGTTATTAGCACGAGAAAATGTCTGGGACACAAATAGTTTCAGAATAAACAAGCTAATTGTTGACCTACTTCTTTATATTAAAACCATCCCTGTTGCCTTTTTCATGTGTGAATTTAGCTATATATTCAAGCACATTTGGAATATGTAACTCAAAATTTTGATGTGTTTACAGCATAGACAATGTAATAGACATCTAACCAATCATACAGGCAGGCACAAAAGCCCCCACCAAAGCCAATTTTCCATGTTCCCTGTTACATATAAATAAAACACAAGCTAAGTGGGTAAAACACACTCTACTTCAGCTTGAACTTCTTTACCTATGGAGTAAGATCACTGAACAATTAGTAATTTGATAATTACATGTGGTCTTTCCCATAATCCATGAAGACATTCGCCATTTAGTAAGCAGTTTTTTTTTTTTTTTTTTTTTTTTGTGTTGTTGCTGTTGTTTTTAGAATTTCAAATAATATAAAAGCTTACTTTCTTAGAAAAGAACAGACCAGGCTACTATGAAATATTAAACAAAAAAAGAGTTTTTATAAAAACAACTAAGAGGATGGCTAATTTCACTAACCACCCAAAATACTTTATGAGGACTGGAACCCAGGTACATATTATGCCAAGAATATAACTGACAGAAGATCATAGAGCTTGTGGCACATTTCCTACATGTCAAAATCATTGTAAGTGAAGAGGAAGAAATGATCTCACATAAAATGTAGTGTAATATCACTGAGTGGGGAGAATAAAAAGACTGATTAATAGAAACAGATGGTAAACGATCGGCAATTACCCTCAGAGTATAAAAAGTAATTCTCCATAAACAAAATTAACAAGTATATGAGCTCTTTTATGCAAAAATTTATTTACTAAGGCAATATAAAGAGTAAGAAATAGTGTTTAATTGATGAAGACTAACAAGCAGAATGACATCAATTTGCCATACAATATTACATAGCAAAGATCAGCTGACTTCAACATTTAAGCCTTTTTAAGAGTCAGGGGTGGAGCTCGGCGAGAGAGTGCTGACCAGGCATGTGTGAGAAATGGTTTTGCTCCCCAGTGAAATCATAAGCAAATAGGCACATTTACATTTGGTAGGCATCCAAGCTCACTTTGGAACTGAAGAGCATAGAGCAAGACGGGAATGTGTACAATGTCCTTTTGAATAACAAAAGCTTCAAATGCAATGAACATTCAGAGGTCAATTTCAAAGGTTGAGACTTGAGGATGCATTAACAAATCCACTTCAGTTAAAATTCTGGTTATTTCTGTCAACCAAAAAGTTCTGATATTTGTTATTTCTGACAACTATATTTGATTTGATGGACTTAGAGCAGCTTATGAAAAGCACAGCACTCAGTAACTACATTTATCTATGTCTACTCATGTTTTAATGGAAACCTGAGCTAGAATAATGATGAGGAAATGTACAGACTACCCTATCATTACATACAAGCTAGGAATAGGGATTTATTCCATCTGAAGGAAAAAAGAAAACCATCCTGAAATAATTTAATGCCCTGAAGGTACCACAAAATTTATTTACTTTTTAAAGCTTTATTCACAACAATAGTTTCAAGTTTTACAAGTATACAAATAACATTGCATTTAAAAAGAAAAAAATTTTGAAGAATAACAAATAATGCTGACACGGGCTCACACATAGCAGTTTGAAAAATGTGCAGCACATATAACCAATAAAGGGAATGGCCATGTAACAAGACCAGAAGTAGAGGGCACTCTAGGGGAGGAGGCAGATACATCACAATAAATCAGACTAAAAATGTCCATTCATCATAATTTAAATTGTCCTAAGAATTCATGCATGAGTTATCTCTTAATGTGAAATGTCTGTTAGCTTATACAGCAAAAAATTTGCAGATTTGCCAAGTAATGGTTGAACAATCGCTTATTGTGCTTCAAGTTGATGAACATCTGAAGACTAAAATACACTAAAAAATTACCGGAGCCACGTTTCTAGTTCAGCAATTCTGGTATGTTACAAATAGCTTTAACAGTTCCCCCCACACCCCCAGTATTTAGCAATACTTAACAAAAACAAAACAAAACACCTTGCATTCACAATCACAGGTAAATTGGCTATTTCAAAACTTCTGCTGAATAAAATTGAGCAGAAATAATTTGGCTCACTGCAAAGTACACTATTAAAGTATTTACACATGGGGGGGGGGGGGAAACCAGGAAGAGAACAAGAGGAGGAGAGGGAGAAAAGAACAATATTGCCAATTTTAGTAACTTAAAAGAACATTGGAGTTGAATTACGATGAGCACTAACTATCCCAGTGATTTTTAAGCCAAGTCCAACATGTCTGATTCTAATGCAAAATAAAAAAAGAAATTTACTGTGGTGTGTTCCATCCAATTAATAAGACATCCAGAGTGGACAGAAAGACAAAGTAGATAAAACAAGCGGAGGGTGAAGGGGAAGATGTCATGCTGTTGATGAAACTCTACTCAGAGAGACAACCCTGTACATTTACAGTACTTTTAAATGTGCTCTACCAACATAAATACTTGTCTAGATGGACAAGACAGTAAGCATAATTGCCGTCACATATATGTTATAATGGAAAATCCTGCAGTGGACATGCATGGCCACCTTGTAAATATTGACAACTTATATAGTAGTCCTCATATCCAACCATCAAGAAAGTTGCTTGAATATGTGTTAAGATGCTACTTGTTTGAACTGTTCATCTCCTGGCCCAAGCCAATACACTATGGGATTACATGAATGTGCCACCACATTTGGCTTTGATGTTTAAACTGTATCTTAATTTATTTTTATTGTATAAATGTTTTCCCTTCAGGTAAGTCTGTTTGCCAAGTAAGGGCCTGGTCCCCAAGAAGGTCAGAAGAGGGTATCAGATCCTCCAGAACAGGGTTGTCTTAGGGTTTATATTGCTGTACAGCGAAACATCAACTCTTACAAAGGAAAGTGTTTAACTGTGGTGGCTCACTTACAGTTTCAGAGGTTCAGTCTATCACAATCACAGAGAGAAGGAAGGCTGCATGCAGGTAGACATGGTGCTCGAGAAGGAGCTGAGAGCTCTTCCATCTTGACTTACAGGCAACAGGAAGTGGTCTGAGACACTGGGCGGTATCTTGAGCATACATGAGACCTCAAAGCCCACCTCCTCAGTGACACGCTTCATCCAACCAGGTCATACCTACTCTTCCTAATAGTGCCACTTGCTGGGGAGCCATTTTCTCTCAAACAGGCAGTTGTGAGCCACTATATGGGCGCTGAGAATTGAACCCTATTCCTCTGTAAAAATAGTCCGTGCCCTTAACCACTGAGTCATCTCTCTAGTCTCTCCTAGTATACTGTTTTACATGATGAATTCCTTTTAATAATTACTTCTTGTTTAGGTCTTCCGGTCAATAGCAACTAAGAGAGAATATAATACACAAATCTAAGAAAACTAAACATCTGATACAGGT